TTTCTATAATTTGGAATATTCATTCGTCATAAAATTAATAGAGCCAGTAGATTTTAGAAGAGATAAACTTTCACCAAAACCCCGCAACCGGTATGGATTTGTCACTATACATGACCACTTCTTAAATGAGTGCAGAAAGGTTAAATACTAATCTGGGAATTTGAATATAGATGGATAGTGACTTTAAACAGACTATTGGCCCAAGGAAAGAATAAGGATAACTAGACCTCTTGTTAGATTGACTAGGTTTACAAAACATTTAACCTAGTATATATGAAATAAATAGAAGGATAATAAATTTGCCCTACTATTAAATTTAAGAGGCTCAATATCGTACCATAATATAAATTTCAAAATATTCACAAAGCAAAATGTGAACTTCACACTACTTTGATTCATAGATAGAAAGCAAGCACACTAATTATGATCGAAATCAGGCTTAAATTAGAATACATATGATAGCAAGGTCAGGTAACCTGACGAGAGCTGTCTTCGTAGATTGCTCGGGATCTGTAAAAAAAATATAAAAAGTGAAAAAAGGATGACATCAGAGATAGCTCAATGGAGATCATGAAGCAAATCACATGTAAACATATTTTTCGTTCATAAAAATGTAAAAAAGTACTAAAGATAATATAAAAATTTATTCAACTTTAAAGCTTAAGTGAATCATTGGGCCCGGGTTAGAATAAAGTTCTAAAAAGATCCACGAAGCCAGATTTTGCCTTAATCAAACTAGAATAGCACATTAGTTTTAATTTTAATAAAATACTGTATTGTAACAAAATCATAGAGAATCAACGATATAAAGTAGCGATGGTAATAGGGATATTAAATTAAGCACATGATTTGAACATCTAAATAAATGTCAGAAGATCGATTTGAGGTAGGAGGGGCATGGTAGTAAAGGTAAAACAGTTAAAGTGGTTGTTGCCTCAAGGATAAACTAAACACTCGTAAATAAATATTTTTCTTTCTCTTTCGGAAATAGTAAGATTTATTTCTAGTCGTTGTCCTACTTTTAAACATAATCGCAAGAACGGCCCACAGATTTTGATGACAGGATTAAGGTGTGCAAACCAAAACCTACCCAATCAGAAGCGCCTATTGCAGGTCCGTCGTGGCCGGAGGGGGAAATTGGGGGCAGACGAGGAGTCACCATTAGGTCAAGTTTGGAGCGCTTGGCCAGTTTCCTTCTCTTAAACTGCTCTTGATCGAGCAGGCTACTAACATTCAAAGTAGTTATTCCTGCTCCTTCTTCTACTTGGTGCTTTAGATTTTCTCCATCATTTTCACTTTCTCCGACGTTATCCAAGTTGTCTTCTTTTTCGTTAATCTTCATCTCTTCCTCATGGGATAGTCGCACTCTTCTGCAAGCCCCCTCTAATCGATTAAAGCTCGACAATTTAATGGCAACATCCGGAACTCGGAGGCCATCGGTCTCGTTTAGTTCGCTGTCCCCATTTTTCGTGGCTTGAACGAGTGAATCAGATCGCCTTGAATATTCTTCTGTTCTACGTCGACGGGCTGGCTGTCCAGTCCAAACGTTCTGGTCAAGTTCGGATTCAAGATCTCTGTCTTCATCCCTTTCTTCGGTAGGATCAGTTTTGGTATAATTTGCAGAATCTACAACAGACTCGGAGAGACAGCTCGACCTACAACGCTTGCGTTGTCTTTGTCTATTCTGTGTTACCTCCCCATCCTCCAGCTGAGTTTCATCTTCAGTAGCACCTTTACGTTCTGTTTCAGGTTTCTCTTTACTATTTTTGTTACCCTCTTCTTCGGCTTTCACTCGAGTCACACTTATTGAACAGGAAGAACCAAGCTCAGCTGGATATGAATTACAAGTAACAGTGAGAGAGTTTGAATCGGGCCCAGCGTCATCTGAACCAAGTAAGTCCGACTCGGTATAAAGAAGTGGGACGAGGTCCTCAGAAAGAAGACAACCGTAAAGCTCTCGAAAAAGTTTGGTTGAAGTGTAAACCTGGCCGTGTGGGAAAAGGTATTAAAAAACAATGCAATATATGCAGATAAATAAGGATGGATAATATAAGAGAGTTGAGGGGAAAATTCATTATAAAGTGGTTTACTTCTTAGTAGATAGTTGGCCTTGTAACGCTGCTATATTCGCAAGCAGATTTCATAGTTAAGT